ACCGTGAATCAATGGAGAATGACAGGTTCAATAGTATATGTGGACTGGACACTACGAAACTATAATTGTACCTATTAATTAGAAATGGGGACAAAAATTAAGAATTTTCACATTTAATAATTAGGAATGACAAATATTAAAATTGTACTTAAAAAGAACGTCGCTATTAATAAATAATGACGAATAAGTATTTATTTAAGCCTGTAATAGTTTAAATGTCATATAAGCAAGTCTGACGTGCAAATAATATTAAGGGCGCATGTTTAAAGTATTAGAGATGATTATTAAGGACGCTACTTTATTATTTATTTAATGCGTTTATATTTATTATTATTGTATTTTAAGAATTATATTAATTAAAAATGTTTTTCAATCTCCCATTAATTATTTGATTGTATTCTCATATTTTAGGATCAAATATGTTTACGATTATTTTTATTTTCTCCACCGCCCTAGACGAAAAAATTAATATTAAAATGATTCATACTTCTTTGATTTAATACAAACGGCACAAGTATCATCAAGAAATTTAAGCCTATTAGACACAAATGGTAGTCTAAACAAAATTTATATGTCTAATCAATCTTCTGCATCCAAACATTGAAATGATGCAAAGTTAAAAGCATGTGGCTTCCATAATCCATCCTGTAGATACACTATTACATCCCACATCGTCCAGGAGAGTGGATCCTATAAGTTTTATATATATATTCCCATCTCTACCTAGCACGAGGCCTTTTGAAAGCTCGCTGGCTTCAGGTTCCATGGAAACTTTGAAGTTGAGCGAGTAGCGCGCGAGAGCATTCCCATGATGGGTGATCCACTCGGAAGTTCTCGTGTGAGTTCCCAGAAACAAAACCCTGAGGGCATGGTCGGAGCCCAAAGCGGACAATATCGTGCTACGGTGAAGTCGAACTCAGGATGTGGTGAGAGTTCGGGCCGGGATGCGACATACACTATAGAAGGTAAAAGCAAATTAGAGTAAAACTATTTTTAGAAAAAATAAGAAACAAAACAAGCAAATTAAGTACCACTCACAACCCAAAAAAGAGACGAACAAATTAAAACAATCAAATTACAATCACTATTCTTGTAAGTGGTATTTTTCATGCTCTCATTTTTTTATGCACTCCTCTATTTATTTCTGTCATTTCATTCTGCTTTGAGTTGAACCAAAGATAAAACGGGGAGCAAGAAAATCAATTTCTTTTTGGTATTGTTACTTTAAAGTATTGTAATTTCAATTTTGTCACTTTTACCCTTGATTTGGTTTACTTTTGATACTAATTTTGCTCAATTTTGGCCTATTTATATAACTTGGTGTGCACATGTGCTTCATGTGCCCTATGTATTATTAATCTTTCAGTATTAAATAACACTTAATAAGTTTAAAAAATGCAACAACAAACTCTGAAACACAATTTTTGGACAAAAAGGGACTTGGAAACAAGTTTTTGCTAGAATTTACTTAGAGTGAAACTAGCGTTACTCCAAACAAAAATAAATTCAACCCAAAGTAGTTTTCTAAGTTTCAAGAGATTGAAGCCAATTTAGGAAGGAATGAACTACAAAATGTTAAATAGCAAAGATTATAAATGTCTTTCATGATCATTTACAAAAGCATGTGAGCGAAATTTGTAAATGCCTTCTTTCAAGTAGTGATTTGCAAATCCCTCTTACATGTCTTTCAATGCTCATGAAAAGGTTTTCTAATCTCCTTCATCTAATATTTTGTAGTATATTTGGTACTAATGTGACCTCAATCTCTTGAATCTTCGAAATCCCTCATCCAAACATAATTATAGGATTTAAAGCTATAAACCAAAAAACAAACTTCTTTCCATCAATAAAAATTTCTCATTTGCAAACCTTTTTTCGGTAGTGGGAACCCCATAATATTATACTTGAAAATGTGGTAGAAAAAAATGCCTGAAAATGAATCACCTTTTTTCTTCTTCCCACTTACAAGTTACAACATTCACACTACCAAGTTTACCAGAAAATTGGTATACCTATATGGTACTTAATTATATGTCAAGTGGTGAAGAAGTGCTTGATATCATATGTGAAGTGGTGAAGAAGTGCTTGATATCGTGGTGTTTATGTCCGCTTAAAATAATTATTGGCATATGAACCGCTTAAAGAGCAGAAAAGAAAATGCCAATACTTCTCAACTCTTCTCGTTTTGGTTCGGGCCTTTTATTCTCCAATATAATGCGATTTTGCATTCAGTGCTAGCTTTTCTTGCCTTCGTGGGTCTCAAGTAATAATAACCTTCTGAATTGACCAAAAGATAATTATAGCCTTCTGGACAGTACACTTCTAATGCACATAATCATTCCCAATTTCCACAAAATAAAGTATCAAGAAACTGGGAATGCCGTAGTTGATGTATGCCATGACAAGTTTTAGTTAGAGCTTGCGTGCAAGTATTTATATTTTAAGTCGTATGACACCTAATTTGTACTTACGATAAAAGTTCGATTCTCACTTTTATTATCTCTTAAGTCAAACGAAAATAAAGACATAATATATCACAAGTTTATTTTTTTCACCGGAAACTTTGCTCCAATGTGTGTCATACTTCATTCATGTTGATACCAAGTATTTTTATTCATACCTGACTGTTATTAAATTTTCATTATTTCTTTAGAAACCCTTATATAGCATGATGAATTATCTTAAAAGAAAATAAATTACAGTTAAAAAGATACCTATCTTTGTTCACAACGATAATTAGGTGGTCTATCTCCTAATTAAATGGTTTGTTCTTGTTGGTTTGTGCTTAGCTATATATTATTTTCTTTTACAGGAAAATATTATTTAAAAAATGAGAATTTTAATGAAACATTCTCGTTACTGTTCACTTTTAACGAAAATGATATTTTTATCTTAAAAAATCACTCATAATACTATTTACTTACACATTTATTTTGTCATTTTCATTAAAATTAAAATTCTTTTATGACTTTCGTTAGTTTTTCTTTAAAAAATCCTAGAGTATCACTCGCAAAGAATTTCTTGATACTTTGGAGACTTTTTGTATCCATGACAATACATGTCCAGACAAGAATGAAGCTAAATATTAATTAATTATTCCTTTATCAATTGTCAAAAAATCACTTCTTCTGTACGTATCTTGGCTACTTCTTTGCCAAACTCTTCGACATAGAATCAGAGTTCATTTCTCTTCTTTGGTTAAATAAAATTAACACCATTTGATAAACATTTAAGATTAATTAAATACTTAATTCTTTGGAAGCATCTGAATCATACATAATTCTTAATAATAATAAAAAAAAAAAAGGGTTTTTAGTTCTATCTATTCATGCCCTTAAGGTTAGGAAAAGATCCTCTTCGGATTATTTTTGTGAGGATTAGAAGAATCAATTAATCATGATCGTTCATCGTATATCATGCGGTCATAAATTATTTAAAATTTAAAATTGAATATAAATAATATCTAACGAAAACTGATCACACGATGTACAATGAACGATCGTTATTGATGGATTCTCTAAATCCCCACAAAAATAATCCGAAGAAGATCTTTTCCCAAGGTTATACTCTGTGGGGACCAGCATATAGCATTACACAACAACATGGGCGGTCATTCTCGGCAATAGTGTGCAACAGCTCGAGTATGCGTTGCCCATTGTAATGGGCAAGGACTCAAAATTATTGTGGATTCTTTTAATTGATTGAGAATCAAACAACCGCATAGACTATACATAACTATTTTGCTTGTAAGCCACCGTCACAAACCGGCCATCAATCCAACCACTTAGACCATCTCTAATAGTGACCTAAAATCTAAAAATATTTAGCCCAGAAAATTTAGGTTTTAGCCCAGAAACAGCTTTTCTACTCCAATCATTCTGGCTTAAAATTTTAGCCCCAGATTATCAAAGAATGAATTAAGGCTATTTTTTTTAAATTAACTTTTTAAAAAAAAAATTTATGTAGACTATCCTAAATTAATTTTATGAACATTTTAACCTAAAAATATTTAAATTCCGATAAATTTTGAAAAATCACTAAATCAATACATGAAAATCAAGATAAACAACATAAACTTAATACCAACGACATTTAATAAACCACATAAACTTAAAAAATAAAAAAAACAATTAATAAAATAATCTTCCAAATAAAAAAAACCTTCATTGTCGGCAAAATTCACACCTTCATTGACATCATTTGGGGGTGGGGCTTCATTATGAAATAATCTTCCACATTGTTGGTTCGCATCGGTTCCCCACCTCGGACAATCCTTGAGGATGTTCCAAGCATGATGCAACTTAAAAGCTTGATTTTTTGGTGTAGTTCTTGTCTTGTAAATTGCCATTGCTTTGTCACCCTATGCAACAAATACATAAAAACAATTAGTTGCAAAATACTATTATGTACATGACAACTAAAATATCAACAAATAAACTCACAATTTCTGAGGCGCCCCTTCCACTAGGCATGTCAACCATGGCTCTCTCCAAGCTTCATTTCCACAAAGTGCACGCTTTGTTGATAATCTTTCACCGATCATAAACACCACCAACTTCCCTTCGACCGGCGTTGGAGTTTTCATGGAACTTATCAACGATTTTACCCCATAAAACCTTTCTATTTTGATTGGTGCCGACGGCACCATCTTCGCTAATCGAAATCCATGCCAAACATAAAGCAATATCTTCGTCAAAGGTCCAATTACGACCTCTAACATGCTCTTTTGCCATCTTGAAAATTCTAGAAATGAGAATAAATGGTATAAAGAAAAATTGGAAGAATTGTAGGAGAAAAATGAGTTTTGTGTGGATGTTTGAACAAATACATAGGTATTTATAGAGTTTTTGGTTGAATTTTAAGTTTAATAATTTTTATAAATTATTCTAGCCGTTGGATTTAAATTTGGACCGTTAGATCTTTTTTTTTACCGTTATATTTAATTATATTTGATTTAAGCCGTTGGATTCAATAAATACATAAATATAAAACTAAAAAAAAAAAATTTGAACCTGGACCGTTGGATTAACCAACGGCCCAGTAATCAATCACCGTTAGATTTGTAAAGCAGCCCAACGGCTACTTTGTTGCAATTATTGCGCAGGGAACAGCCCACGTGGGGCTGTCGGGTGGGAATCCGAATTGGCGCGTGCGGCGCGTGGGAGAGTGGATGAAAGGAAAGTGGGCTTCACAGCCCGTGTTTCACTCACAACAGGTAGGGCACATAATGAGTTTTGGCCTAAAAACGGGCTGGTATTTGGCCTTCTTTTAAGTTTTGGGTTTTAGGTTTTATTTAGCACATGGGTTGGAGTGGGTTTTGGGGGGAAAAAAAAGGGGAATTTTAGGTTATAGGCCATTGTTGGAGATGGTCTTAAAACCCCAGGAATGAAGGAAACCGGTGCTCCATCGCCCTGCAAACAACACCACAAAATCCACAAACAAAAAACCAAGGAATCCAATGGGAAAACACAACACACCAGAGACAGAGCCAATAAAGGCAAACAGGAGGAAGGAGGTGGTGCGAACACCTTGAACCATAACTCTACTCACCTTCTGATAAATCCGCAACAAAATGTGGTTAAGAGATGTGATTGCAAACCGTGGAATCGTGAGGGGATGGAGCAAATTGGTCCGAGGTTCTAGGGTTTTCTTGTTTTGTTTTTGTTTGTACTGGACTTCGAGACTTGTTTTGGGCTCTTTTTTGTGTGCTTTTGAGGCCCAATTTCTTTTGTTATGTACTTAAGTTGTGGTTGGACCTCTGTGTAACTTTACTTGGCCTTTGCCCTGGAATAATATTTCCAGTTTACCAAAAGAAAAAAAAAAAAAAAAACTATTTTCCTTGTTTGAGTTACATATCATTTGGCAAAGTACTTGGCTTTTTCATACAACAGATCACAATTTTATATATTTATGAACTATTTGCATAATTTTAATGAGGTATTTTTACATGTACAAATAAATTGTGATTTACAAATAAAGAAAATATATCTTTTATTTTACATATAAGTATGACAAGCAAATTTGACCTCAACTAGTTGACTTGTATACAAGTGCACGAAACCTAAATAAAAAAACGCTTTGTTTGGCATGCTCTCCACTTTGTTTGAATAACAAGGCATATCTTGATGATTTCATAATATATGTAAGCCACTTTAGACAAATTAAGTGAGGAAAAAGATTATATATGGATCATAGCATATAGTCAAAATAGTCCCTATCCTTTGATTGATCGGATTACTTTGTCAACATATACTTTTGTTCTTTTTCCTCTCATATATTTTTTATTTAGCTTGTGTCTTGAATTTCCTCACATATTGATGTATCTAATATAAATGACATATGGTGGATGGTGGTTGGGAATCAAATTGGGTCAAATAAGAACAAGTCAATGAAACATATAGGTTTCATCTCCTTCACTTTGGCAGGCTTGATTTTGATCAAGTTGGTGATACAAAATATATGTTGTTTACTTAGGATTTATATATATATATTAAGGCCAATTGGACAAAATCGACCAGCTTAATTGAGATGAGCTTATCTAGCTAGTAACTAGGGAGTGAACAAAGCTCCATATATTACACCGCCTTTATAGCTAGTTTAGAGAGAGAGAGAGAGAGAGTTGAAGCTCTAGCTCTTCAATGGTACAAAGGACTGTCCTCAAGGTTGATATATCATGCCTAAAATGCAAGAAGAAGCTCCTCAAGGCAGTGTCTGGCCTACAAGGTAACATAATCATGTCCCCTCTTGAATCTTATTTCCTTAATTTCCCAATTGGCATATATGAATTATGCTTGTATCACTTCTTAGTTATTCAGGATAAGATTAATCGCGACTTATCGTATGAGCGTAGTATTCAACATGTGATATTGTTAGCAATTCATGCGTCCATAAATAACTACTAATCATTGATTGATGAAGAACTTCCACAATATCAATGATTGATAATCTCTCAAGCATGTTTGGACATCTGACCAAAATAAAACTCGAGAGTTTATTAAGCATTTAAGCCTCACAACGTCTAAACCAAAAATGTACAATAATATCTGTCATATTAATTAATCACCTCTGATCATTTCAGGTGTGGATAAAGTTGAAGTTGATGCAACCAAAGGAACTTTGACTGTAACAGGCAACTGTGATCCCTATGAAATAATTGTTCGAACTAGAAAAGCAGGTAAATTTGCTGAAGTAGTGAGTATTGGGCCGCCTCCTGCTCCACCTAAACCTGCAGAAAAGAAGCCCGAAGTGAAGAAACCTGAAGAAAAAAAACCAGACCAGAAGGTCGAACACCTTCACATGCCCCATAACTGTGAAGAATGTCAAAGATTGGCCATTGTAAGGCTGGAGCCTAGTTATGATCACAACCCCTCCTGTTCTATCATGTGATGATAAAGTCAAATAACCCATGATATTGTCAAGGTCGATGATTTTGTATGATCTATCAATTTGTCAGTTGGGTTAGAGTTTGTTAAGCTCAATCATTCGCCTGCCGATTAGTTGGAGACTTTTAATAGTTGATGTATGCATGTGAATCTCATTGTGGAACTTACATGCATGTTGAATGCTATAGAGCTATGTGAATTGTATTCACAAACAAAAATAATCATGTGTAAGACTTAAAGCTCGTAAAAATTAGAGTGATAATATTGATGTCATTCATATTGTTCACACGCACACCTTATAATTTATCCCTTGTTGGTTTTTTTTGTTGGAATGCTTGGATGGGCTTGTTGATTATTGTTGCATAATGCTTTTACGTTGACATTTCTAAATAAGTTAGGTAAACTGTCAAATACCCCCTCTAACTATGACAAGGCTATCAATTACTCATTTAAATTATTTATTTTTTTGTCGATTTACCCTCTTAACTAGTATGAAGCTGTCGATTTTAGAAAATCTCATCCAAATTTGCAGTGGCGGAGCCACATGGAGACCAAGATGGTACTGGCCTATCCAGAAATATTAGTTTATATATTCTGGGTAAACTGTCAAATACCCCCTCTAACTATGACAAAGCTATCAATTACTCATTTAAATTATTTATTTTTTTGTCGATTTACCCTCTTAACTAGTATGAAGCTGCCGATTTTAGAAAATCTCATCCAAATTTGGGAGACCAAGATGGTACTGGCCTATCCAGAAATATTAGTTTATATATTTGATCTGTTGGTTACATAACTAAAGAATGTGTGGCTTGGTGGTTAAAGTGGTTTCTGTGTTCTTGCGCGTCAGGTGTTCGAAACTTGCTGGTGAACCTACTTAAAGTTCCTCATCAGCAATTTGTATTTTTTGGTTAGTTGATACAAAACAAGGTTTTGTAAAAAATTATGAGAATGATTGAATGCCCACATGGGAATAGTTTGTTGTGTTATGCTTTTTTAAAAATGGTTTATCACATATGATTGTTTGATTTGTCACGGGTGATTTTCATTCTCTGTAAACCTGCAGATGTGGTTCTATAAATAGAGCACTCCGTGGATGATGAAGATACAACAATTGAAAGAGAAAAGAATTGAAAACAATAATATCAGTATCACTACCTTCCTCTTTTTATCTGCAATCCTTCGGTGAAATGAACGTTGACCAATAATTAAAATTTCAACGCTCACGTGTCACATAAATTTTACATGTAGCGTGTGACTCAACGAAAAATCGAAATAAATTGGAAAAGTCATCAAATATGACACGTGTCAATACCTGGCAGAAATGATTTATTTCATCTGATTATTTAAATCCAAAAATCAAGTTTTGGAATTCTATAAATAGGAAGCCAAGGCATTCATTTTAAAAGAGAAGAAAGGAAGAAAGAAGGGAAGAAAGGAAGGGAAATTGATATCACACCAAAACCTTGAAGCTTTGAAACTCTAAAGCTCTCAAGCAAATCCCGAAGGATCAAAAAAAGCTCTCTTCGTTCTTCGTTAAGTCTTCCTTCAAGATCAAGCCCCGACGGCCCTTGAAGAAATCCGCACAACCATTCTTCAAGATCAAGCTCCAACGGCCCTTGAAGAACTTCCACCAACTCAAGATCAAGCCCCGACGGCCCTTGAGGAAAGTGTTCATCGTTCATCATCCGTTCATCCTAAGATCAAGCCCCAACGGCCCTTTGGATCAACAACCTCAATAAATCCACACATCCAATCGTTCTTCAAGATTAAGCCCAAAAGCCCTTGAAGATCCGCTCATCCATCAACCTTCAAGATCAAGCCCCAACGGCCCTTGAAGAACTTCCACCAACTCAAGATCAAGCCCCGACGGCCCCTTGAAGAAAGTGTTCATCATTCATCATCCGTTCATCCTAAGATCAAGCCCCAACGGCCCTTTGGATCAACAACCTCAACAAACTCATACACCCATTCTTCAAGATCAAGCCCAACGCCCCTGGAAGATCCATTCATCAACTGTTCATCCTTAGATCAAGCCCCGACGGCCCTTTGGATCAACAACTCATCCACAAACCTACACCCTACGAAGATAGAATCAGAGGACCAAATTACAAAGAGATTGTAACCCCAAAATCATTAATACAAAAATATATTTTGTACATGTATTCTTGTCTCTTGTTTCAGGAATTTTTCGTGTTTACAAATTTGGCACGCCCAGTGGGACATCTATACCTCTCATCTCTATCATCAAATCATCGAAAAACGCAAATGGCATCAAGAAAGGATCAAGCTGTTCCTGCAATCAAAGCAAAGAACAAGAACATCATCGCCGCAAGTGGTGATATTTCGGGCATCATAACCCGAAGTAAGGCAAGAGATCTTTTTGCCGCGGCTTCCGCCCCTGCATTAACTCTGTCAAAGGAACAAGAGCACCTGAGGTACGAGCCTGTGATCACCCTAGCCTCGCTAAGGGCATCAAGGGGGGAAAGCCCGAGGAAATACTCAGAGTTCCTACTCTCCGACGCTGATTCGAGCGGCAGTACAACCATGCAAATCATGACCACTGGAGCAACTTCAATCGAGGAGCAGCTAGCTCAGATGAATGAAGCAATCGCAAAGCTCACACGGACTGTGGAAGAGAATGACTTGCAGATTGCCGCACTTGTCAACCAACTAGATGCGCTGCCCGACGTGAAAGTCAACCCAAATGTTGGCCTATTAGAGAAAGAAGTCGACGAAGAAGAGGAGCCACTAGCGGAGAAAGTTGAAGAGAAGCCGAAGCTAGACCAAGCAACGGCATTCATGGGATCTCTCTCTATCCAGCAGCTACAGGAGATGATCGCAAGCACTATCAAGACACAGTACGAAGGAAGCTCGCATGACTCCGTACTGTACTCAAAGCCTTACTCCAAGAAGATTGATGCTTTGAAGATGCCAAGGGGTTATCAGCCCCCAAAATTCATGCAGTTCGATGGAAAAGGCAACCCGAAGCAACATGTCGCCCATTTCATTGAAACTTGCAACAATGCTGGAACAGAGGGAGACTACCTCGTCAAACAGTTCGTGCGTTCGTTGAAAAGTAACGCTTTTGACTGGTACACTGACCTCGAACCTGAGTCTATCAACAGTTGGGACCAGCTAGAAAGGGAATTCCTCAACCGTTTCTACACCACTCGTCGTACTGTAAGCATGCTAGAGCTGACCAGCACGAAACAGTGGAAAGATGAACCTGTCGTCGACTACATAAATAGATGGCGTTCTTTAAGTCTGGATTGCAAAGATCGGCTTTCTGAAACCTCTGCCATTGAGATGTGCGTTCAAGGCATGCAGTGGGGACTACACTACATCCTTCAAGGCATCAAACCACGAACATTTGAGGAGTTAGCCACCCGCGCCCATGATATGGAGTTAAGCATCACCCGTCATGGGAAGAAAGAACAGATTGCCGACTACAAGAATGACAAAGTTTTGGGGCCAAAGGTGGATAAGGCTACGTGGAAACCCACCAAGGAAGCAATGACGGTCAACACAACTCCAGTCAAAATCCCTACACGAAGCAAGGCGATTCAAACCGAAGCTTTTCGTGATCAAGAGATACGTAGACGCACTTTGAAGGAGCTTGAGGAGAAGACTTATCCATTCCCCGACTCTGACGTGGTTGCCATGTTGAAAGACTTGCTTGACAAAAAGGTGATCGACCTACCTGAGTGCAAACGGCCAGAAGATATGAACCGTACTGACAGTCCAAGGTACTGTAAATTCCACCGCTTCATTAGTCATCCGACGGAAAAATGCTTTGTGCTAAAAGATCTCATCGTGAAGTTGGCTCAGAAAGGGATCATCGAGCTAGATCTTAATGATGTGGTGAAGTCAAACTATACCACCGTCACTTCCGGCTCTTTGAACTCAAAATCTTCACCTCAACCGCTGAGGGCATGCTCCAAAACCATGTCAGTTAAGTCAAGTGAAGTTGAAGGATGGACTTATGTCACTCCAAAGAAAATGCACAAGAAACATAGGTCTCCTCCACAAGCTCGCCAATCGGAAAGGGGGCAAAGCAGCTACCGTCAACCTTCAAAGCTACATGAAAGTGTTGAGGATGATGAAGTTATGACACAAAGATCGTCCGTTGCCATCACGATGCGCGATTTCTTCCCCAAAGACTTCTTCAATCACTCAGTCAAGACTCCTTGCTATGAAGATTGCAAGGAATGCCCCTCTAAGATTGTTTGACAAATTTAAAAAAGCTCCTCGTTCGCACGAGCCTAAAAGGCGACAACCAAAGCTCCTTGTCCGCACGAGCATAAAAGGCGACAACAAACGCTCCTTGCCTGCACGAGCTGAAACTGCAAACGGCACCAAACGCTCCTGGCCCGCAAGAGCATAAACTGTGTACGGCAAAATCATCATCAAAACCATCACTCATTTGAACTACGTTATGACTTAATCTCTTCTTTGGAAGAGTACGTAGGCAACTTGAAACTTCAAAACTTCAAGTACAGTCACATCAAAATAAATAAATAAATGTTTCATTAAAGAAAGTCAATTTTATTACAAAAGAAAAGAAAAAAAAAATACATATGTTACTATGTATTAAAAAAATATATATATATTCTCTACTCAAAAAATAAAATAAAATATAAAAAAATATAAAAAAATATAAAAAAAATAATAAAAAATAATAATAATAAAAAAATAAAAAAAATAAAAAAATTATACATGTTAAAGTGGGTTTGCCTACACTTAAGACCCATGCCAACTCAAAGAAACAGAAGTTGAAGTCCACAAAAAGGAGCAGCCAAATCCAGGCCCAGTGCCATCATCATCCCCAGCTCGCTCGAGCAGCCGGATTCCACTAGCCCAAATCCAGGCCCGGCTCTCTCTCTTTCTCTTTGCTTCGGCGCAGCCCTCGCCTCCTTCTCTCTCTCTAGCTTCAAGCCTCCCTCTCTGCTCTCTCTCCTCAGATCTCACAGAACGCCACATCTAGGAATGAACAATAACAACAGCACTGAACAACCGCCGTTTCGATCCCATCCCGTCGCGAAAAATGGCGACAAGTTTCCTCGTGTTTCGAGCAGTCCGTCGCTGAAGGCGCTCGAATCTCAAACGAATATGCAGGAAATGATGAGTGCTCTGCTGCAGGATAGGAGTGAGTTCCCCATTTCCCGAGAGGAATCGACGATTTCTGAGCAGAATCCAAATGGGGAGACCAATTCCATGGATTTGAATTCTAGGAAAAGAAAATCAGTTTCCAAGGGAAAAGCAAAGGATCCTCCTCCTCTATCTTCTTCTCGGTCGTCCGCTTGGCCGTAATGTCACTCAACAGCAGCACCACCAGCAGCAATGGATGCACCAGCAGCAATGGATGGCCATGCAGTACCCGGCGGCGGCGATGGCGATGATGTAGCAGCAGATGATGGTGTACCCGCAGCATTACATGCCTTACGGGGCGGCTCCTCATCATCCTCACCACAATCTGTACCAGCAGCAGTCGCAGGCTGTGGCGTATCAACAGCAACAGCAGCCGCCGAAGCAGCAGCAGTCGCCGCCACCACAATTCCGTCGGAAGCAGCGCTGGTTTGAGCGGGAACGAGAGGCTTCCCGGGTCCGTTTTGCTCGCCAGGGAAAGGCTGCTGAAGAGGCTGAGAGGGATGCCTCCTTCAGAAACCAGGCGGCATAGAGCATTGCATCTTTACAGAGATGGGCTACTGCATGTTGATGACTTGAGTCCCCTTGTAAGGGATTGGGACGCTGAAATCTTGACAAGTCAGCCAGCCACTGCCTATTCTTCGACTAACTTGGGCTCCCAAATTGAAAGGCTACATCTCTTGCAAGAAGCGAACAAGAAGCCTCCAGGTCTTAGTCAAGAGGTTCTTGATTGTTTGAGCACTGATATTTTCAGCAGCGCAGAAGTGGGTGTTGACGGCTTGGTGTTAAAGGCTTCCGGAGATTGTAGTATTTGCCTGGAGAGTTTTACCGATGGAGATTAGCTTATTTGCTTGCCTTGTGAACATAGATTCCATGCTGCCTGCTTGAGTCCCTGGGCTCTTATTCGAGGAGACTGCCCATACTGTCGGAGAGTTATAGTTGTAGATGGTCAAAATGCTAAAATGACTACATAGTTTCCATTGAGATGTTTTATTGCCTTGTGCTCGTGTTATAGGAAAAGTTTTGAAACTCGACTGCCAAATTATGGCGATGCTTTCAAATTAGGTGCGATGCATCATAGTTTTGTTTGGCTTGTATACTGGTGGATGCTTATAATCTGTGTTATGTAACCCTACAGCAGTTGTAAGGCATGTGAAATGGTCAGCTGAAAAAAAAAAAAAAGATAACAAGATCACGAAGGAAGAGGAAAGAGAAATGGCTGGTAGTGCTTGACGTAGTTCTCTATGCCGTTTACATGCTTAGCATCTTCGACATCTACTTCAAGTCCTTCATTGTCCACAGCATGGATCCCGTCACCTTTCGCTTCTCAAGTCACCTTCTCCTCTCGCCAACAACAGCTCATCACCTAGCGCCGCTGCAATTCCTCCACTTCAGGCTTGACGCCTTGCACTACCTCGAGCTCGTCATTCTGGCCACCATGATCAAAATCAACGAAGAGCTTCATTGACCGCTGTTAAACGACTAGCCGGTCTTCAAACTCGACGCTTTACATTCTACCTCAATATCTGGCTGCTTCTGCACCTCCGCCATGGCTGCTGCCTTTGAATGTGATCAACAAAATCAAAGTTTGTCAACTCACACCCAAAGATCTCATCCGTCTGCTTGCCTCTGCTGCTGCCTTTGAATGTGATTGACAAAATCAAAGTTTGTCAACTCACACCCAAAGATCTCCTCCGTCTTCTCTCGGACTCGGCCTGGGTTTTCACCCACGAACTCAGCCTTGCAGATGGCCATATAAAGAAAAAAAAAATGATGATGCGGGGAAGCATCTTTCAAAAGAATAATTAAAAAAATAAATAAATAAAAAAAAAAGTAGCAATGATGATGTTGGGAAGCATCTTTCAAAGACAGCACCAGCTGCCAATTGTTTAAATTAGCAAATTGGAAGATGCAAGGCAGTGAGCAAATGCAGTGGCCTATATGCGTGTGTATGTGTACAAGATTGTGGACATATTTGTTATATACAAGTTGTAATTTTGTAGAATTTGAAACTCACACGGTGCCAGGCGCACCGAGAGCAATTATATTAAAAAAAAAAAAAAAAAAAAAAAAAAACACATCTTGGTGATGTACATGTTTTCTCTGTATTTAGCACAATACACTAAATAAAACAAAGCATGTTCATTGATTTTATAGAAATTACAAGTGCGAAAAAAAAAAAAAAAATGTATCTAACAAAGAAAGAGAAAGATGGAGCCTTCACGAAGGTTGTTTACGTGAAACCCCACTACGTGGCAACACTCTAGGAGCGGGAGGCATCGGAGCGAGAAGCACCGAAGATAGATCATTCGAGGCCCCAATACTTGGTGGAACGCTAGATGACGCAGGAAAAAGGTGCCTCTGGAAGAAAGACGCAAGCCTTTGACGGTCACTTTGAATTTGACCTTGAGATTCTAGCATCTCATCAAGCTTCCTCTTCATGCCTGTCGAGTAATTATTGGCAAGCACGTGCAAACTTCTATTCTCGTGTTTAAGCTGTTTGATCTCTTGCTTGAGATTCTCCACCTCTGCCATCAATGATTCAACCTGACGGGATCGAGCCAGTAGGCGTTGGCCCATGTTGGACACAGAGCCCGCACACTGAACACTGAGAGCTTGGGATTCTTGAACGGCCAACTCATCGGACCGTTCTGAAAGCAGCTGACTATCTTTAGGAGTGAGGAGGTTCCGAGCTACTATCGTAGCTGTTGTTGCATCCGTCATCACAGAATCTTCACCTGTAAGAGGGCCGTTAGGAGATAAGAAAGACGGGCACCATACATTACCTTGACGCGGTGCGACCGGATCACTACTAAGACTCAAATCTAAGCAGATGTTAGATGGGTTAGATGCGTTAGCCATTTTTCAAGAAGTTAAAAGAGAAGGGTTGGATGGAGTAAAATCTCAACGGGCCGGAGACGATGTTCACAAATGGGCAATCTTCAAAGTGTGCATATTAGAGGTGATCGATCACCTCTATTAAAGGAGAGGCGACACAATCACCAATTCAGAATTGAAGAGACACCACGTTTCAAAGCCGGATTTTCTGGCGTAAAGATCGCCAGCTCTTCAGACGCAATCCCGGCTTTTCAGAAAGCGTGTGTAACTTTGTCAAAAGCTCCCGGCTTTTCAGAAGACGCGTGGAAGGTGAGAAAGCAGCTGCACACTTTTGCCGACAAACGTGGGTGACAAAGCCGAAAGCTCCCGGCTTTCCAGAAAGCGAGTGCAACTTTGTCAAAAGCTCCCGGCTTTCCAGAAAGCGCGTGCCACTTTGTCAAAAGCTCCCGGCTTTTCAGAAGACGCGTGGAGGACATTGCCGCATCCGCACTGCCACTTGCCATTACAATTCATATATACATCAACATTCATGGCAAGGCATAGACCCACAAACGCATAACTTTCCTTCTCGGCCGAAAATGTAAGCTGCAACCAACCCTCTCAAACATGCTCAGTTTTCTTCTTCTCTTGAGAACACATTTTCAACCATGGATGTATCCCCCAAAGAAGATACCAGATGCCTGGAGTACAGATGAGGCAGGAGGAAACGGTAGATCGAAGCATGTGGAGGCAAGCACAACAAATATATGTGCTGATTCATTCGCTGCTTCTTCAAAAGCAAAAGTATCTCATATCATCAAGGGCGAAAGCAAAGGTATCTCATATCATGCTTTTTCCCTATCTTTTCCTTTGCTCTTGTTCTCACCTGCCAAGACAAGGACAGAGAAAGCAATATGTCGGAACCTCCACTCAAACTTGCGCTGCCACCAAGAAGTGATGGTCCATTCAAATGCAAGGTTTGCATTCCACTCCTGTATCAGAAGACAAATACTACAAGAGAAGATGCCAAACCTGCATAAGGAAATACCACTTCTGCAAAGGGAGCAAGTAAGGCAAGTGAAAATGATACATCGAAGCATGTGGAGACAAGCACAACAAATAAATATGCTGATTCATTCGCTGCTTCTTCAAAAGCAAAGGTATCTCATATCATGCTTCCTCCATGTTCTTTCCTTTGTCCTTGTTCTTACTCGCATGGCAAAGTGCAAAGAGCAATCAGCCGGCACTCGGAGTCAGTCTTCCGATCTGGAACCGATTACCTGGAATCTATTCCCTGGTTGCTTACCTAGCGTTGCTCTCGAGTAGTCATCTTCAACGGTTGATACACTTCCAGAGAAGGGACCACATCTGCTCGGAGAAAGACGAGTGACAATGAAAAATCAATCTTTCTATTTCGTACTCTTCAGTACGAATTAGAAAGATTGAATAAAGAAACAGAAAAAAGGAGTAAGCTCAGACCTTCGGGGGAGACCAAAAGAATCCTGCTGCCCAGTTCAAGAGTAGCACAAAGGAAAATCAACGAGTGGAGGAGACCAAAAGAATCCTGCACCCAGTTCAAGAGTAAGCCTGCGGAAAATCAACGATTGGAGGAAACCAGAAAATCTTCCAGTCGAACTCAAGATCAAGCCTCGATGGCCCTTGAAGAAATTTCCAGCCCAATTCAAGATCAAGCCTCGACGGCCCTTGGGTTGACATCTACATTAAGAAACTTCAAAACGCATCTTCTACACGTGACAAGCACATGTCTACGACGCGCCTTGAAGTGGGGGCATTTGTAGACATCAAAATTTCGGTGAAATGAACGTTGACCAATAATTAAAATTTCAACGCTCACGTGTCACATAAATTTTACATGTAGCGTGTGACTCAACGAAAAATCGAAATAAATTGGAAAAGTCATCAAATATGACACGTGTCAATACCTGGCAGAAATGATTTATTTCATCTGATTATTTAAATCCAAAAATCAAGTTTTGGAATTCTATAAATAGGAAGCCAAGACATTCATTTTAAAAGAGAAGAAAGGAAGAAAGAAGGGAAGAAAGGAAGGGAAATTGATATCACACCAAAACCTTGAAGCTTTGAAACTCTAAAGCTCTCAAGCAAATCCCGAAGGATAAAAAAAAGCTCTCTTCGTTCTTCGTTAAGTCTTCCTTCAAGATCAAGCCCCGACGGCCCTTGAAGAAATCCGCACAACCATTCTTCAAGATCAAGCTCCAACGGCCTTTGAAGAACTTCCACCAACTCAAGATCAAGCCCCGACGGCCCTTGAGGAAAGTGTTCATCGTTCATCATCCGTTCATCCTAAGATCAAGCCCCAATGGCCCTTTGGATCAACAACCTCAACAAATCCACACATCCAATCGTTCTTCAAGATTAAGCCCAAAAGCCCTTGAAGATCCGCTCATCCATCAACCTTCAAGATCAAGCCCCAACGGCCCTTGAAGAACTTCCACCAACTTAAGATCAAGCCCCGACGGCCCTTGAGGAAAGTGTTCATCGTTCATCATCCGTTCATCCTAAGATCAAGCCCCAACGGCCATTTGGATCAACAACCTCAACAAATCCACACATCCAATCGTTCTTCAAGATTAAGCCCAAAAGCCCTACGAAACAAAACAATGTGATATTTTGCACCCGCTTCGCTCCTGTCCTTAACAAGGGTTATCTCTCAAACTTTTGCCTATTTATAACACAAGGTTAATTTATGTTGAAGAAAAATCTCATAATAATAGTATTGAGCCATGATTTTAAATTTTTGTTTGAAATTAATGTTAACTTTATTGTTAATCTCGTAACAATTTTTGTTTCTATGATATAATTATTTTAATACTAAATTTTTCATACATATTAACGATCTACCAGTCTTGTTTGATTAAAATTTTCCATGCCAATACAAAAAAGGAACCTTTAATTTTCTCTCATTATTATATTGCTATATTTTTTTTGTCTAACTTTTTTTTATATGATTTAAAGGCCCCCTGATTTGAATTTCTAGCTCCGCCACCGCAAATTTCCGTTAAGTGGCGTCATGCGAACGGCATGTGACATAGTTTCACGGACATACTTGGAATTCGACTCGAGAAAACAATAAGATTCAAGAGAATTTTATCCATATAGTTTGGGAGAGAAGGGCCAAGTGATGAAGTTCTCTTAAATTAAAAGTATGATAGTTCATGGGGCTTTATGCACTCGAAAGTATGTCACTCACTTAACGTAAATTTGGATGAAATTCTCTTAAATTGAATGGCCAAGTGATGATTCACAACCTTTTTCTAGTTAAGGGGGTGATTAGCTGAATAAATAGTTTTAGGGGGTAATCAGCAACCTTGTGATAATGGCAGTTTACCCAAATAAGCTAGAACTAAAACATCCCAAGAAAAAGCGATTCCTAAGTGAATATTTCATTGTTCTTCCAGCTACTCGTATCTGCCTTGATTTTCTTTTGGAGTGCTTCCAGTAGCTATGGTAATGATTGAAGATGATTGGTAATGATTGAAGATGATTGGCTGATGTCGGAAAAGAATTGGCGCGAGAGGTTGAGGTGCATGTTTAGCGGACGAGAGTG